TGAGACCCAAATCTTACTGCTTGATCAACACCTCCACCTGGTTGTCGAATTCACCTTGTGAATATGCCCTCCACTGAGCCCCGGCCTGCTCTCCTCAAACTTCTGTTCCTTCCACCTGCTCAGGACCCACACCTCAAGTCCTCCTGACCCCTCTGTTTCTCTCCCAACTCCTGCCTAACCCATCAGCAAATCTCTTTGGCCCTACCTTCAGAATATTTCCAGAATCTGACCTCATGCTATTACACTCATGGCTATGTCTCTGGTTCATGACACTGACGTCCCTCACCTGGACTTAACCGTGGTCTCCTAGCATGTCTGCTGCTCCAGCACGGTCCTATGTCCTAACATACCAGCCATACTGCTCCTGTTACAAAGTAAGTTGCGTCCTATCTCTCCTCCATACAAGACCTTCCAGTGGCTTCCTAGCCACTGATAAAAACCAAGGTTCTCGCAAACACAACAAGATCCTTAAGACAACCCACAAGATGTGGTTCCTGCCATCTCTCTGAGCTCACCTTTATCAACCCCAACCCTCCTGCCCTCATCACACCAGACCCCTCACTGCTCCTGTGATGTCCCAAACATGCTCCTACATCAGGATCTTTATACTTGCCGGCTGTCTTCTTCTGGAATGTTCTTTCCCCAGATATCTATATAAACTGATCCCTTACTTCTTTTAGGTATTTACTGAATGTCCCCCTCTTAATGAGGCCTTCCCTAACCTACCTCTTCATAAGACTGATTCCAGACATATGCGAGCCACTTCCCCTGCCCCCTCCTCCTGAAAGCACTTACTGAGCTCTAACACTCTACACAGTTGACTCTTCTTTCTTGTCAAATATAAGTTCCACGAAGGCAAGGACTTTAGTCTGTTCATTGCCATATCCACCTCATCAAGAGCAAGGCACAGGATCTGGCAGGCTGATAAATCAGTACATCACAATCAAACGCTTTCTGAATGGCCTGACTCAGCACATGCAGGACAGGCCTGATATCCGGCTGCAACTGTGCTCCTTATAAGGCCCCTCCCCAGCTGATTTTATCCCACCCCCCCAAACCCTACAGACCCCCTTGCAGAGCTCTTCCAGAGCCTTCCCTGGAAAAGCCATTGCCTCCATCTTGATGACAGGCCCCTCCCGAAAGAAAAGGGAGGAGTGAGCTCGGGGTTCTCAGTCCCAGCCACGAGTTAAGTCTCCTGTGGATATGGCACCTTCCTAGCCCCCAACCCCAGCTCCTCATTTTCTGGGGGAGAGCTGGAATGACAGAAGCCAGCCCCTGGGTTCTTGGAAAATAGATGGCCCTACCCTCAGTGGGTAGTCAGGACCCACAGACCCACAATTCTCGGATTGTGGAAGAACGAGAGGTAACTGTTTCCCTATCCCAATACTCCCCAGCATCGCATCTGCTTACCTAGCTTGGCTTCACATGGTAATGCCAGGTAATGCTAACAGAACATGCCCTACATAAGGCGTGTGCTCTGTCCCTCCTCCCCAACCCCCTAGGCAGAGCAGAGGAGAGAGAGCAGGAAGGAGGGGGAGGCCTCCAGTCTTGTGCTCCTTCCTACTAGAAATGGTCTCATCAGAATGGAGGCAAGAGGGGTCAGGGACAAGTAAACAAAAAAGGTACTCACTTCCAAGTGAACACATGCCCCATGGGTGGAAGGGACCTAAAAATGACTAATTCCAAGAACATTAGATTAACATCCTTCTACTCTATATTTTGATTTAATGGAAACTCAGCCCAGTGAAACTGAAAAGGTCTAAAGGTTAATTTGACAAAACCGATCACTCAATTAAAAGGTGATGTTCCTTTAGGAACATTGTACATTAACCTTTAAAGCTGGAAATTGACAGTATGGTTATTCTATTAGCAAAAACAGAAACCAAAGAAGTTTTCCCCCCAAGTGGTATTGTTTTGTTGCCAAGGCATTGCAGAAAAGGTACATCCACCAAAAGTGGAGACATTATTTTTAATTAAAATCATTCAAGATATCCAGCCAGAGGCTACCTCCGTTGCGTGCTGTTCTGCTCTAGTAAAATGTCATTATTAAAAAAAAATTAAATGGGTCAATAAAGTCTGAGCTCTACATTATGGAAAAAATTACAGCTTCCTAATTATGTCAAACTAACATAGCTTTATGGGTCTGAAGGCAATTTTTCTTTCAATTCCATGTTCGTACTCCGTCCAAAATGTTCCCGGCCAAGGCCAGCACACAGCACTGGGAGGCAGGAGCAGTAAAGAAGTAGGCTGCAGACCACTACCGTCCGGAGGAGAACATGATGGGAGCCAAGAAGGGCAGCCCTTTTCCATTAGAGAATGCAGGTCGCTGAGGGGAAGCCTGCTCCCTAATCCTCATGTTTCTGTGTGAATCCGCTCCCCTGGTGCGACCCCCAACTGCCTTCCTTAGCCTCCTGGCAGGGGAGAAGGGGACTTCTCTGATCAGTAAGCTGGCAGAAGGAACCAGGCACGGCCAGGGACACACGCATGCACCTAGCCACAGCTCCTTGCTCTCTCTCCTCTTTGGGATCTGCCTGCTTATAGACGGCGGAAGCTCTGCTGTCGTCCTCTCTCTCCTGTGCCAGAAAGGGGCCTGCCCCCAGGGACTGCGACTGTTCAGTGGCAGCAACGGCTCAGTGAGTCTAATTCTGGAGCCTTCAATAAGGCCGCCCGCTCCCAGACCTAAGCTCTGCCTGCCACCCTGTATTTTACCAGTGGTCAAGCTGATCACTCGTCACCTCCATCATGTTGACCTGACCCTGTATCTCACCCACCCACCTTCCTCCCTCCCTCCCACCAATCTCCGGCAGAAAGGAGAGGTGTGTTCTTTTCTAACCGCCCACCCCTCTAACTTCATCCTAGGTCACATGGGGTTCCAGTCCGGTTACCCTTCACCAAGGGACTTCTGTGTGTCAGGAGCTCGCACAAAGCACGTCTAATCCTCAGAAGAGCGTCATCCACATGGAAAAAAGAGAACAAGCACGAGACAGGAAGCGAGCTCTCGGCACTCGCATGACCTGGCAGGAATGGGGCTGAACTTAGGTGTGACTGACGCCCCCCCCCCACCTGCCCTGGGCCCCTGCTCTGTCAAAGGGACCATAACAGCGGCAGGAATGGATGCAGAATGCATGAGCTGGCAATGAACAGCTGCCACTGGGAAAAGCAGTAATAGACTGAGTTTCTATAATGAGGTAATGGATTCGTCAAGACCAAGAAAGCCTCGGGAGCTAGAGTTCTATCTGACGCTCAAGACACATGACCAATAAGTGGCAGAGCAGAACCAGCCTGGAGATCCCGGGCGTCAGTCTGAGCATCTGCTGCCAGTAGCTGGGAAAGAGAAAACCCTGGGCCAGCGGCCGGCTGTCACGAGGGACATCGGGGAGAGGACTTGGAGTGATCTGTGAATCAGGACACACAGTGTGTGGGAGCTGAGGAGAAATAAATGCCTTAGTATCGCCATTGCAACCACAAGTTTAAAACTACTACTGGTCTGTAACAGCAGCCTTATACGATAATCTTATAAATGCGCGGAAATGCACTGCATTTCAATGATACTGTCTTATGTGAATCTCTCAGCGAGGAGGGGTCATCAAACCCTCTGTTTAGAGCAGGACTCCACAAACTTTTTTTGAAAAGGGCCTGAGAGTAAATACCTTCGACTTTCAGGCCACGTAGTCTGTCACAGTCATTTAATTCTGCTGCTGTAGTGCAAAAGCAGCCAAAGGTAACACGTAAATGAATGGGTTTGGTGGTGTTCCAGTAAACTTTATTTAGGGACACTCAGATGTGCATTTCATTTGATTTTCATATGGGGTGAAATCTTGTTCTTTTCCCCCAGCCGTTCAAATGCTATTCTCAGCTCACGGGCTGTACGAAACAGGCGGCAGGATGGACTTGGCCTCCAGGAGGTGGTTGGTTAACCCCTGGTTTAGAGACGATGTTGGGTTTTACAGAGTGACTCTCTCAGGTTCACAAGGCCAATAAGGGAGTGGGGTGGCCTGAAGGAAACCAACATTTAAAACATTCGCCTTGTTGGATGCCTATTCAAGGCAAAGGGAAGTGAACAGTGGCTTTCCATGAAAGGCCTCTACAAATACTTACGTAAGATAAACAGTCAGGCACTCCAGCAAGGAGCTGGACCAAGAGGTTTAGGCCAGTTTTGTTAAGCTTTCCAAAATGACTAGAGCTTCCATTTTTATGGACTATAAACTTGATATCCATGTACACCTCTGGAAATAAAGTTTACACTGCCATCTAGTGTTGAGCTAGTATTTTAACTGAGAACTTAAATAAGGTCTTCCTTGGTACTAGGCACTAAGAGTGATTTACTACGTTCCAAAATTATACAATGAAATACACTTAGAAGCATAAAGCTGCCATTGATGACATTGCACATGTCCCACCCAACCTTCCCATTAATTCACACAGGACACCTGGACTGCAGTCCCACGGTAGGCCACACCATCACCAGGTGCCAGTGGAGCTCAGGCAAGCACGGGACAAGGCGTATGCCCTATAATGCTCCTGCATCTGCTGAAAGCTGGGGTCTATTCCAGAACCCACTTTGGAAGTCTTGATCAAAATGCTTTCCTCTTTTGAAAAAGCAACCTAACCAAACCCTCCCTAGATGCAAGGGTTCTTGTCATGCGTGTTTACATGACTTGCATCGCTCTGTTGTTTGCTAGATAAGCATGTACTGAGAAACTGTCTCATTCATGTCTATGTGTTTCACAATGTCTATGGCACCTAAAGGGAGACAAACGTGGGAGCATCAGCACAGAAGGTCACACTGGGGATGTCGTGACCCCAAGGGCATGCAGGCTAGCAGAGGCTTCCCTGGATACAGGAGCTCCCACCTGCGTGCAGAGGCCGCCACCAAACTGATCCTCCTCAAGTCAACTCTGAGTTAGTAAGTACAAAGTAAGGACAGAAGCTCAAAGGGAATACAGGTATGGGAAAGAATTCAGTCACCAAAGCCACGGTAAAAAAAAATACGCACTTACCTATAAGCATTAATATAATCTTTCCTGTGTTCCAGAAGAAAATCTCTCAGTTTGCCAATGTGTGAAATCTAGAATCAAAAGAACATGAAGAGTTTATATGGAGAGATATGTCACACTTGTCTGCAATAAATTTTAAATTAATAGATGATGGAATAGAGGTTGTAGACAAATTCTGAAGCTACAAACTGAACACTTCGGTTTTGGATTCTCACATGTAGTTGAGCCTTGAACAATGCAGGGGTGAGGGGTGGCGACACCCTCCCAGTCGAAAATCCTTATATAACTTTTGACTCCCCCAAAACTTAACTATTAGTAGCCTGTTGACCAGAAGCCTTACCGATAACATAAACAGTTGGTTAACACATATTTTGTATGTTGTATCTATTATAAACTGTATCCTCACCAGAAAGCAAGCTAGAGAAAAAAATGTTACTAAGAAAATCATAAGGAAGAGAAAATCCATTTAGAGGATTGTACTGTATTCATCAAAGTAAAATCCACATAGAAGTGGGCCTACACAATTCAAACCCATGTTGTTCAAGGATCACCTGTCATCACTAACTTGTTGGTTAACTTGCCCAAAGTCACCCACATTCCTGGGCCTTAGTCTCCCATGGACAGTTCCTTCCTCCTCTAAGTGTTGTGATATGATCTAAGATGTTAGAAGAGATAATCTCAAAGGAGCTTTGAGGTTAAATGAAGTAATGCATGTCTAGTAACTACACAGCATGTGCTCAATAAAGGCCAATTCCTTTCCTGATATGTCTTATATCTAAAATTTTATAAACAAATACTCCTTCTTCCGAGTGTCCTGGAGATGGATGCTAAGGCTGGAGATAGCAAGTTTATAGACAGGGCCCCACAGAGCAGCAGAGTTAAAAGCTTCAGGGGCAACGACGGCTCCTGACACAGCAAACCTCCATCTTCCTGACAGCCTACTTCCCCAGCTGAACAAAAAGGACACAAAGGTACAAAGGACTCTATTTGTGATGGCTGGCATCTAGTATCATAAAACCCTACTCTAAAGCACCTGCCACATGTCAGTATGTGGAGTTAGGGATTAAAAAATAAGTAAAATAAAATTAAAAAGGTAGGAAGAAACCTACAACCATGGCTGATGAAGACCAAAGTGTTTCCAGAAGCAAAGAATGATTAACTAAGTCGGTGGCCTGCTCTGTCCTTTGACCACTGCTCACTCTAGCTTCCTCCTAATGCCCTTTGTACTCATTCCAAACGTACATAACCCCAGCCTTGAAAGGTCCGTTGAACTTTCATCTTTTCCATGAAAGTTTTTCTGTCAAGAGCAACTCAGGCTAATTTTCGCTTTGCTCTCAACTTAAAAGCACTTCTGCATACCACCCACGTGGCCTGAAGTTACACACGGCCCCATCCTCTGGCTTCCCCGTCAGTGGGATTATGATCCCAAGCAAGCAGGGCTGGGCTGTTTCCCCGCAGTTCCAAGCACAACACGCAGCAAGGAGGGCGGTCCTTAAGTCTCTGTGGAACGAGTATGTATCTAAATACAAAGATAGTATTTATCACAAAGGAAACATTCAGCATTAGGCTGCAGATACGTCAATAGGGGTTCAGTTAAATTTCCCACAAAGTCGAGATAAATAATAAATATGGTTCAGAAAATTACCTCCAGGTATTTGAAGGGCAGGACTCAAACTAAAAATGAAGTGTGGCCCTAACATTCACTTATTACCCAGTTAACAAACAAGGGCTGAGAGTCAGCCTGACACCCCTGACCCCATGAGGTCCGTCCTCTCCCCCACGGCCCTGCTGTGGGCATGCACAGCACCGCTAATGGTAACCAGTTTGGGAGAGTGAACCTCACAGAGGCCGAGTAATTCATCGAAGGTGACACATACAGCACGTGGCCGGGCTTAAAGGGAAACTCAGGACGGTCTGAGTTCAAGTTCAGTGTGTTTTCCTACACAACACAGCTGCCTTCCTTACACCCTTACTCCGATCTACCCCTTAAATGCACTATAAAATCTGACCTTTAAGACTGTGGGGAAAATATTTAAGAGAAGTACAAATAAGCTGTTTACTGCCCCACATGTATGATTTGAAGGTTACTCAGCAGTTTTAAACTTTCAATGGTTTATATCCCCTTCCCCAGCCCCTACCTACAAGGGGCCAGGTAAACAGCACACATGAGTAAAGCAAGGGAAGTGGATGGCTGTTGTACAGTTGGCAGTGGTAAATTCTGGATTGAAAATACGCCAAAGCCAAAGGAGGCAGCTTTGTGGCTGATAAAGTTTTCTGTAAAAAGTTTTAACAAGTCCAAAGGCTAGATCTGTGGCCCACCCCCTCACTGCCCAGCACCCCCACCTTCAGCTAGCTGCACTCTACCAGGAAGCAACGGTGCACGGGCATGAGCACCAGCAGCAAGAAGGCCCCATAGGCATCTCAAAAAACATAAACTAGAAGGAGTTTCACTTAAAGTATAACAAATGTGATCCCAAATTCGTACGTTCCGTAATGGTAAATTTCTATAAAATAAATTTATTAAACTGAAGCATGCTCCGTATAAAATGAAATTCTTGGTAAATTAAGAGGTACTATGTAATTACAACTTAACAATATCACCAGTATGATTCAATACTTAACAGGAGTAAAATGAACAAAATAATATTTCAAATGCATAAATAGAAAGAAATAAATGAGCATTAAGATTTCTGTAGGTGGGGCGCCTGAGTGGCTCAGTGGGTTAAAGCCTCTGCCTTCAGCTCAGGTCGTGATCCCAGCATCCTGGGATCAAGCCCCACATTGGGCTCTCTGCTCAGCAGGGAGCCTGCTTCCTCCTCTCTCTCTGCCTGCCTCTCTGCCTGCTTGTGATCTCTGGCGTCAAATAAATTAAAAAAAAAAAAAAAGATTTCTGTAGGTATCTGACAGCCTTGAAACTCTATTAGATTCCTAAAATAAATACACACATACACAAAAATCACAACAATCAGTAAGAAAAAAATATGTCAATAGGTCCTTGATGTGTCTAAATAGACACTCTTAAGTCCCGAACAGCATTATGTGATAGGGCTATCTGCATCATGAACGATTTGACAGTTTAATCACACAAGCATGACCATCATCTTTGTAAAGATTCTTGGCCAAGCTCTGATCTGTTTACTGTTGTGCTTAGTCCTATTTTTTAAAATAAACTGCCAATGATAGTATACTTCATATGATTCTGAACAGCCCCTTAGGTTTTCAAATTTTTAGAGGTTGAGTACTTGTATGCTTTCAATTCTGAATGCCTCTACACACAATGCCAGTTTTAAAAGAACCACCTATAGGTGTGTATCCAAAGAGAATGCCTCTTACTTGTAAAAGTTTGAAAGGCCATTCCAGTGTCAAGTCTGACATGAAAATCAGAGTAAAATGAAAGTGTTATTGCCCTATAAAGATCTAAAACTAGTACCAATTTCTTAATCTTGGTGTCACTGAATGACATGGGGAGGAGGGCAGGGAGAGGGTCCTGGGAGGAAACAAGGGGTCACTGGAAAAGTCTGTGGCACCGGTGGGTGACAAAACGCAGGGGCTAAAAATAAGGAGTGTTCTATCACAGCCTCGGGCAGATAAGAGACACACCATCTTCATAGCCCTGTGCTTTTGTGACTGCTCTTCCTCTGCCTGGAACAGCTTTCTTTATTCCAACTCCATGCCACCAGAAGAATCCCTATTCATCCTGCAGGCTTCCACTTAAATGTCACCTCCTCCAGGAAGTCTTAACACCTTCCTTAGTATTTTACAGATACCCATCAGCACTTCCCATAGATCATTAGAAGTATTTATCTGTGACCACTAGACTTCAGCTGAGTTCCCTGAGGTCAGGATCTATGCCCTATTCATCTCCAGGAGTGAAAAACGTTGGATGAGGAAAAGAGGGGGAAAGAAGTTTGTGTGGGTTGAAAATCCAACAGAAAGGACGTCAAGATCTGATAACTCCTGACATAGCAGTTGGATCAAAAAGGTATCAGAGGTATCACAAGACTGCACCTAAACAACTGTGAACAAAGTAAGAAAGATGAACATGCCAGCTACCTGTGAGAGTAATTCTCCAAGAAAGTCAGTGGCACGTGTTTTCAGAAGGTAAGATCTACTGAAGACATGTAACCTAACACACTCCATGAGAGAGGATCTGCTCTCACAAGGCTGATCGCCTCCCATCTGACTGACAGTAGGCCCACCACGGGAGAGTTTTCATGACCATAGCCGTGGTTTGACTACACTGCCATATCATCTGACACGTGTCCTTCATTTCTAACACAAACTGTCGTCTAAAATAAGAATGGAACTGTAGCTAAAAGAGAAAAGGAAGAGAGGAATGCAAGATGTATTTAATATCTGCACTGTACCAGTCACTTTAAGCAGGTTGTTTTGTTTAACTTGGACAACAACCCTGAAATAGATTCTTTTTCTTGGTGGGGAGAAACCAAAGCCCGGAGAGGTGGTATTACCGGCAGAGCTGGGGCTGGAACCCCTAATCACACTGAGCCAGCACGGGCTCCCTCAAAAGCGGTCACTTAATGGACATGCTGGTGTTTTCTAGTTTCAGTCAAGTTACTTTCATGCCTGCTATGTACTGTTATTTCGCCTGTTAAAGAAGAAAAAAGCCTCCCATTTAATACTGATATTAAGAAATTATAGTGAATTTTTGCTCAGGTGTGATAACAGTAAGCATTACGATTACTTTCACTTTTTATGTTTTTAAAATTCTTATCTTTTAGAGATGTATACTGAAAAATTTACAAGTCAAATATACCACCTAGAATTTGCTTCAAAACAATACAGGGGAGGGAGAGTATCAGATGAAGCAGGATGGGCCGTGAGTCAGTACGTGTTGAAGATGGGGGTTCCTTATAGCATTCTGTCTACTTCAGTATGTATTTGAAATCTCCCTTAATAAAAACATTTTTTTAAAGATTATTTATTTATTTGACAGAGACCACAAGTAGGCAGAAAGGCAGGCGGAGAGAGAAGGAGGGGAAGCAGGCTCCCTGCTGAGCAGAGAGCCCGATGCGATGCGGGGCTCGATCCCAGGACCCTGGGATCATGACCT